TCATTTGCAAATATCTTTTGGTTTTGTTGATTATTTCCTTAAATCTGCAGAAGCTTTTTACTTTGATGAAATCCCAATAGTTCATGTGCTTTCATTTCCCTTGCCTTTGGTGATATGTCTAGTAAGAAGTTGCTCCACCCAAGGTCAAAGAAGTGTTCTCCTCTAGGATTTTCATGGTTTCCTGTCTCACATTTAGGTCTTTCATCTCATTTGAATTTGTGTGTATGGTTTTAGAAAATTGTTCAGTTTCATTCTTCTGCATGTCAACTTCTAGTTTTCTCCACATCATTTGTTGAAGAGACTGTTATATTTTTTCCATTGGATATTCTTTCCTGCTTTGTCAAAGATGAGTTGACCATATAGTTGTGGGTCCACTTCTGGGTTTTCTATTTTGTTCTATTGATCTATGTGTCTGTTTTTGTACTAGTACCATACTGTCTTGATGACTACAGCTCGTAATATAACTTGAAATATGGAATTGTGATGCCTCCAGTTTTGTTTTTCTTTCTCAGGATTGCTTTGGCTATTCAGGGTCTTTCTGGTTCCATACAAATTTTAGGGTTGCTTGAACTAGCTTTGAAAGAATGCTGGTGGTATTTAGATAAGGATTATATTAAATGTGTACATTGCTTTGGGTAGTATCAACATCTTAACAATGTTTGTTCTTCCAATCCATGAGCACGGAATGCTTTTCTGTTTCTTTGTGTCCACTTCAATTTTTTTCATAAGTCTTCTATAGTTTTCAGAGTAAACATCATTTACTACTTTAGTTAGGTGTATTTTTAGTTATCTTATTGTTTTTGGTACAATTCTAAATGAGATTGATTTCTTGATTTTTTTTTCTGCTGCTTTGGTATTTCTGCATATTGATTTTATATCCTGCAACTTTGCTTAATTCATGTATTAGTTCTAGAAATTTTTTGGTGGAGCCTTATGTATCTTCTACATAAAGTATCATGTCATCTGCCAATAGTGACATCACTAATATATTTTAAACTTGCAACTACATTTTCTAAAGATTAAAAATTAAAAATGGCCTTTTAAATTCTTAATTGTGGTAAACATATGACAAATATTTTTTTGCTATGTAACAAGAATAAAATAAGAAAATCTCCATTATATGTGTTTGTACATTCATTTACAATGCTGAGTGACTCTTTATCATGCCATAGATAACTTAATTCTTTCTTTACTAGCTGGAGTCAGGACATGGTATGGAAAAGTTACCCAAAACCTTATAAATAAACTAGTTAGTATCAACATCTACATGCTGTCAGTATTTTAGAAATAAATACAATAAATTGTGTGTTTTTTTCAAAATAAGTTGTTTTTAAATGAGAACCTGAAAACATTTCGGAATAGCCACATATATATAGTAAAGCTGTCTTAGGGAACTAAGACAAGAATTAATGTAAAGAAAAAAATGTATAGGGGCACCTGGGTGGCTCAGGTGGTTAAGCGTCTGACTTCGGCTCAGGTCATGGTCTCAACGGTGCTGACAGCCAGCTCAGAGCCTGGAGCCTGCTTCAGATTCTGTGTCTCCCACTCACTCTGCCCCTCCCCTGCTCGTACTCTGTTTCTCTCTCTCTCAAAAACAAATAAACATTAAAAAAAAATAATAAATTCAGAAATAGTAATCCAAAGAACCAGTGCTTTCTAATATTAATCTAACTTGGGAAGGGTAAAAAAAGGAAGCATCTGCTATATTCAAACTCTGTATTACTGCAAGAGTCTGCTCAGTTCTGTGGGGAAAATAGTTCACTAGATTTAATCAGGGCTTGTTTGAAATACTTTTCAATATCATCCTTCTTCCATGTATCTTGAAATATTCTGTTTATTAATTAGATCCCAAGTGCCCTAATCCATAAAAATACTTCCACATATAGATAAAATAATTCTGGACACTGGAAGTGTACACATTTTATTATAAGTTAATAAATATGAATTTTGTTTTAATGAATAGCTACTATTTAATGATTGCCACAGGCCAAACCCCATACTATGTTTAAGCATCACCTTATTAGATCATCAAAACAAATCTATGAGGCCCAATTACTGAAATGAAAAATGAGCCTGAGAGAAGTTTAGAAATTTACTTATGGTGATACAGCTCTTATGTATCTAAGAGACAGAGGCTATTTGATCTTTATTATATTAGGTTATTATAAGAAACCATGCAATGAGGCTCATTTCATACTTATTTGAAGTAAAATATTGAGAGCATCTTTACAAATTGTAAAATATCATCTTTTAGGTGTTGTTAGGAAATTTTTCCTGCTTCAGCCACACAGATGCTCTCTCTTAAATAAATCAAGTGATTTGCTTTTCATCCATTGGACTTTGAATCATTAATCTTATTGTATTTCAGAGCCATGTTTGTGAGATACATTTTTGTTAGTAAGTTTGAACTTGTCGTTTTGGGTGAATGTGCTTGAAAACATTATATTATTCACTTTCTATAGTTGTTGGTCCAAATATTTATGAATTATTGCCTTTCTAACAAATTCTTTTTTACTGTATTAGGAGACATTCGGTCTACAGTGGAATCAATTCAGTATGTCACCTAAATTAAGTCAGGGTTAAAGTATAGCTGCCCAGCAATGCAGTTCAGACATGTCATTTAGGTCAGCTTGACCTATCATAAATTCTAACATCTAAGTCTTGTAACTAATTAGGAAGGATACTTGTGATACTGACATGCTGCAGGCATTTCTATGTCTTTCTCTTCTACATGGCTTACTCTCTGTTGTTGAAATAAAGTATAATAAATAAATCCAAAACCCAAATATACTAATGGCCATCTCTGAATGAGGAGGTAATGGGTTAAATCATATTCCTGCAAATTTTGTCCACCTGAGACCTCAAAACATAACCTTATTTGGAAATAGGGCTTTTGCAGATGTGCTTAAGTTAAGATGAGGACATACTGGATTCAGGTGGACCCTGAACTCAATGGCCGATATCCTCATAAGAGTGGAAATGTAACTAACATAAAATTATCCATATTACATTCTAGTTATAGGGTGGTGTAGTAGGGAAGCCAAATCATAGGTAGAAAGTGTTTAATGAATGTAAGCTGAGAACATGGGTACTACAGAGATTAATAAAATACTTGATTGAATGAAAGTATGATGGGCAGCCACATCCACATTTATTCTACGAAAAGAAGAGCCTTGTGATTTACAATAGAATGTTGGAAGACTTTTTTTTAAGTTTTCTTTCTATGAATGATTCTAGAACAGGGAACAGCAACTTTTGCACTTTTATCTCTGTGATTCTTTTGTTCATTGCTTGTGTATCTAACCAAATCTACATTTAAGTAACATATTCTTTTATGAAATGTTAATACACTTAGCATGTAAAATATCATTCTTAGAGATCCAGAAATATTTTAACCTTTAGATTTTCATGCTGGTCCATTATATTGTTTCTAACATTTAATGCAATAGGGAAAATTATTCTCCTCATTCATTTTTTAAGTTTTGACGATCCTTTGTAATATTCTCAAAAGACTTGCTTTATACACACCTTACAGAAATGTATATGATAATTGAAATTAGAGAATAAAAAATTAGGTAGCCTTAATTCCTGAATAAAATTAGCTCCATGATCTCTATGATTTTAAAATAACAATTGCAATCATGATAATAGTCTTGCTTCTATTTTGTTCAAAGATCCAAAAATGATTTCCTGTTTACTTTTCCTTTTCAACTAGTCTAATGAGCAGTTCAGGCACATTGCTCACTAATGGTATGGAACCTTTAAAGCTAGCCACTTTTCACTTTTGGAAATTTGCTATAATAATAAATAATAGCAAATTTGGACTAGTGCTACTTCCTACACACACATTCAGAGAAAAGGAAAAAACTTTGAGTAAGGAAAATGATGACCTATTACTAACAAACAGTGATGTGCAGCTTTTATTTCTGCCACCAGAGAAGACTGCAACTTCCTGCTAAATGGCTTTGTGTTCAATACTCATTTGCTGGGGTGAGCTTTGCTATAATTAGAGCTATCACTAAATCATTATCACATTAGACCACTTTCTAGTGCCCTATCCAAACCCTGTAGGGCAATTCCACCTCTCTTTTACTGTTGGAGAGCCACCATAATTCCTTGCAAGTTTGTACTGCTCAGTCTCCTACTTGAAAGCACTCTAAAATGTGCTCTCTGATAGAAGGAAAATTGGATACTTGAATGAGGGATGCTTCCTGATCAGGAAAGAGAACAAGAAAAACCTTCAAAGGAACTTGAAGCAGCTTGAGCAGTCTCTCATTATTCAGTTAGGAGAGCATGTATGAGGAAATAAGGAAGAAGGGAAGGTTGGTTTTAAGTAATTTGGGGAAGAAAGTGTAAGTAAAAGATTTGAGTGTTTTTGAGTGGGAAAAGTACAGTACCTGCTGATTGAAAGGCTAAAAAAAAAATAGAAAGAATTAGCTACCTGGGCAAAGTTTTGTCTCCAGCAGTAAAAAAGAAAAGCAAACTATAGTACTAGATGGCTCGTTTACTTTTGTAGCACCTCCCTCATTTACTACATATTTCCACAGTTACAAAGTTCTCCTCTTATTTCATTCTGGCCTACCTCATTTAAACCTTTATCCCCAAACTTCTATCTTAAAATTGACTCCCCTCTTCACAGCATCAGAAATCAGAATACAGTTACCAAAGTAACTCAAGTAAGGGGCTCAGGTTCCATAATTTTAAAAATAATATGAGGTATGTAAAGTGGCATAATATTGTATAAATAAGATTGTATGTGAATGGAAAAAAAAAGATATCTTGAAACCCAGTACCACCGTTGAATAGCTCCTGTGATTCTCGGTTTTCTTATATGTAAACTAAAGATAATAATATTAGCCCTTTCTGTTTCATATAATTATATCTATTAATATCTATAACATTTCTAAAAGGTTATAAAACATAGAGATATTGATTAACATAGATCTGTTTTATGTACAATACATTTTCGTTACACATTTTCAGCATATTTTCACCTTTATAATGTAGAGTTCACCTCTGTGTTAAGTCCTGCTGACATTTTCAGTACTTCACCATAGGAAACAGCGGCAGCCTTGCTGAATGGTCGCTATCCTTTGTGTACAGATGTTGACTCATCTGGAGTGAATGCAGTATAAGAAGAGAATTGGGATTTTAATTTACTAAGCAGGGAGGCAAATTATGTAATTAGCTGATAAGCAGTTAAGCAGAAAGGTAACAGAAGTAATCTTGTAGGGAATCACATAAGACTTATACATATTTCTGTGACATAATTTCTGAAGTTAAGAAATCTGTTCTGTGTACAGACTTACTGAATTAAATTTCATGAAAAATGAAGAACAGTAGAACCTAAAATTTTCCATTGATTTTTGAGATTTTATCTTTGCTTTTTAGAATCCATGTTTTTTTTCTTTAACAGTTCATCTTCTTTCTATGTGGCCATTTTTTGGAGGAAAAGCTAGAAATTTCTTTCATAAAACACTTATTATAAAAAAAATAAAAACATATCTTCATAGGACAGAATTTGCAGGCAGAAGAAAGATCATTTTATGAGAGTTTACAATAAATTAAGTGGAAGCTAGCATAAGTTATGGGGTATCATCTCTTGAAGAATGTGGCCCTAGTCTCGGTTGTAGGTAACATGGCCCATGTGTAGGAAAGCATTGTAGGTAATATGGCCGTGTGTAGGTTTGAATTATTATCTTTAGTATTTGTATAGGCCAGAGTGTTTAGGGTTAATATTCAGGGAGATCTAGAAAATTATCGTTCCAGTAAGATTACATACAGTGAAATACTGTTGCAAATTCATGCTGTATTCTCTTTTAAAAATCAAGGGCTTACTTTTATGTCCAGCATTTTAATATTATGACTACCTTTGAATTATTTTTTATTATACTTAAAAAATCCAGGATGGGCCTTCATGTTTCGTTTTAAATGAAGCTTGGTGTTGTTCGTTTTTAAACATCATCATCAGCTTGAAATGCACCATCATTAATGAATGTTCTAGAGTAGTAAGTAGATATTGAACAGAACTTGTAACTAAGAACTCACATCAGTGGTTCCTGGAGAATCACTGAAGACTCTTCAAAGACTTTGAGGAAAACACCTGCACTCATTCTGATGTTATTTTTATTTAGTCCTCCCTTACTCCCAGAGATCAGAAAATGATGAGAAATACAATTGCTTTGGATCTCAGTGTCACAGAATTCTGACCCTGAAGAGTAAGGGCTCAAGCTTTATTTAGGACAATTGATATTGTGACATTCCGTTAGTGTGCAAAACTCATGATGGCGATTAATTTTGATTTTATACAGCAGATGTTTGCTCAGTGCCAAATAAACCTGTTCAATTTACCCCATGTCTTAATGTACCCTATCTATTATTTACATGTGAGCACATGCACCACTGAGAAAAGGAATAGCAAGGGCATGGCAGGGGTATATCAAGACATCTGGTGAGGTGATTGCTTACAAAATCAAAATTCTTGGCTGCAACTCAAGTTTGAAAATAATTTAGAAACAAGACCTTCTCTGTGTCTTCCTCTGTCTTCATTGCCTTGCATTTAAGACTTTATACTTTAAGGTCTCTGGTTGTCAGGGCAGGTATAGTATATTTTTTGATCAAACACATTAGGAGAATGTGGGACAATAAACTTAATTTTTATTTTGTTGCTCTAAATATTATCATTGTGATAAACATGCATAACTCACCAAATACTTGGTAGCATTTATATATAAAGTAAATTCTTCATAAATTTGAGAATACATTTGGTTTTTAAGTACTTAGTGCAAATAGTTTTGTGGATTCTCTTCTATGTGAGTGGTAATTATAATATGGGTGTAACCTAGTTCAATTGAACAATGGAATCTAGAGCTTACACATCAGAAACCATAGATGAGTAGGTGGAAATATCAGAGAGATGATTTTTTTTAAAACAATAAAATCCTTAAGGGAATTATAAAAGGAAGGGTAATAAAAATGTAATATGCTGACCTTAATTATTTCTAATTTCTTTCTCCCAGATGCTAGCTATTTCTTCCACCTGGTATAACGGCCTCAGAATTCCTTCAAGTTCAGGCCAAAATGACTTTTTTTTTTACCCTAGTCAAAACAGAAGCACAAACAGAAAAAAAAAAAAAGACCTATTAAGCATTTTTGTTTCTTTAAAAATTAACTTATAATAACATTTATGGAGCCTACTATGTAGAGAATCTTATGCTCAGTATCCAAACGGGTACAAAGACACTGGCCTTATCTCTTAGAGGATATGGGGCAAACATGGGAGAACTCAAGTATGATACAGACAATGCTATATGCAAAACAGAAGTTGTCATCATCAAGAAAAGAGCTGTTCTTTTGATACTAGACAACAGAGATTTGAAGAAAAGGAATATGCAACATTTAAATTTGGGTGGGAGAAAACAATGAATAGGACTTAAATATCGAGTACTGCTTGGAGAAAGCAAATCCTAATTTAATGGACATGCCACTGTATTAAACTCACTCTGGATACATACTAGGCATTGGGTTATTCAGAAAATGCTAAGTGCATCAGCTAAAGATAGGTGGAACAGAAACAAAGAAAAACAAAACAATACAAAACTATAGGGCTATCTAAATTGGTTAAAAAATTTGTCCAAGATTAATTCTGTCATCAGAATAGAATGCTCATTTAATTTAATCTTCCTTTTAGAATATTGCTGCTTTGAATTATGATTTACCAAAGTAGTCAATCTGGATAGCAAAATTTAGAAGAAAATTGTACATTTTTCATTAAGTTGTTGATAGTCACTATATTCTCTAGATGCTTACTTTTCTCACAAAGCATTAAATCCTACAAGAGGTTTTTAGGAAAACTTTACCTATATATCTTAAATCTCTAATGTAAAACACATAGACATATAGCTTTAATTTATGGGATTAAAACTGCTTTGTTATTAAGAGAGTTGAGAATGTACCCTAACTTTTCTATTTGTTTTGAGTCAACCAGAAACCTTTAATTCAATCAGAAGATGTGAATATTACATCATCTCTGAACAAAGTTTTATTAGCTTATCCAGAATGGGAATGCAATGCAATATGTCTTAATTTAGATTTGCCTTTCTACAACATGACAATCCTTTAATATATGGTATTTTGAATATTACAAGTTATAAATTAATATTTGGTTTGTGGGGCATTATGATTATTCACTTCACTGAAAATTTATCATGCAAGCAGTTTTGAGCTTTTATTACTAATCTAACAAAGGCCAATTTTGACTGTGATGTACAGATTTGTAATACTTGTTTCACTGTGATATAGATTTAAAAACCCTTGTTTATTTTATTATTATTTTTATTTTTCATTTTACCAAAGTGCCTAGCAAATGGCAGTTTTGAATCTAGCAGAAGTGAACAGTTTAGCATTGCTGAGGCATTTCATATTCTGTGCTGTGATTTTTTTTTTTATCTTCCACAAAGGTAAGAGCTTCAGTGCATATTTAGTCTGGCAGGAGTGACTACAGAAAGGTACTCCTAGTAAAATTGATGAAGACCTGTATTATCAGTGGTATTTCCATTGAAATTCAGAGCATGGACAGGAGCACCCAGATACACATCTTTCTTTATATAGCAACTGTCATCCTATTATTTTTCAAAATCTGGTTTTGCTACTTCTCTCTTATTCTTCATAAAAATAATGATCAAAAATTGTTTCATTATTTGCTGTGCTGTTTAATTCAAAATTTTAGATTTTGCATCATGAATATTTAAATAGTTTATTTGAAAAATGACTCTATTGAAAACTGTTGGTTTCTGATTCTACATGTGAAGAGCTTGGAAGTTGTCATTCCAACAAGAAAAAAAAAAAAAAAACTGAGCAGACTGAAAAATCAACAACTTTTTAGGATCTATAGAGAGACAAGGATTCAAGGACAACCATGGCCCCTGCCATTGCAGAGAAAGTCATACAAATACAGGGAATTGTGGCTTACCAGAATGATGACCCACTAGCAGAAATCTCTGTGGAAAGCAGTGGCAGGTGAGTTAGGAAACTATAATTGATGAATTACTTGAAGGTCAATGTGGACAACTCTGAAATTTAAAAACACCAGTCTCAGAGGGGCCCCAAAATTTTTATGAGATTTACCTCTAAGAGTTCTACTATATATATATTATATACATATACACTCTTCTTGCAGTATATATCTGAGAAAAACCCTTTGATGCCCTGGCAGATGAAAGGGAAAAGGACCATTTTGAAATAGTCCAGAGTACCCTGTTCTTAACAAGGCCTGACCTTAGGGAAAACTAATTATCCAGAGCCTGTCCTGCTGAGGTATTATCTCAAGTAAGGGGAAATTAGAAATTGAGAAATTTTTGTAAAGTTCACAGTCCACAGGCATAAGCTCCCTAAAAGACTAAGACCTAATCCTAAGATCATAAGATGCTTCTCCTCCTGCAACATCTTATCACATTAGTAAAAGGCTATTTACAGCACTTTTTTTAAAACCTGGTATATCGTGTCCAGCTATGAAGAAAAAAATTACAAGACATACCAAAATGCAGAAACACAATTTTAGGAAACAGAACAAGCATCAGAAGCAGACGTGGCAAGGATATTTGTCAGACCAGAAATTTAAAACAACTATTAATATGCTAAGTGCTCTAATGGATAAAGTTAGACAGCTTGCAAGAGCAGATGGGCAGTGTAAGCAGAGAATAAAAATTTTAAGAAAGAACCAGAAAGAAATGCTGAGCTAAAAATCTCTGCAACAGAAATGAAGACTGCCTTTGATAAGTTCATTAGTAGATTGGACACAACTAAGGAAACAATATCTGAGCTTGAGGATATCTCATTAGAAATCTCCAAAACTAAAAAGCAAATAGAGCAAATAGTGAAGGGAAAAAAAATAGAACAGGATATCCAAAGACGGTGGGAAAGCTACAAAAGATATTACATGTGGAATAGGAGTATCAGAAGGTAAATGACAAAAAAGACAAGATAAATATATATATTTTTTGGAGTAATGACTGTGAAATTCACTAAATTAATCTTAGAAACAAACCACAGATCCAGGAAGCTCAGAGAATACCAAGAGAGATAAACACCTAAAAAACCAAACCTAGGCATATCATTTTCAAATAAAAAAATCAAAGAAGGAGAAAAAAAATCCTGAAAAAAGCCAGAGGGGGGGGAAAAACACCATACTTAAAGAGAAACAAACATAAAAGTTGCATTTTACTTCCCCTCAGAAACCATGCAAACAAGAAATTAGTAGTGTGTGTATTTGAAGTTTTGATAGAAAAGCAAATAAACCTAGAATTCTGTATTCTTGAAAAATTTTCAGCAAGAATGAAGGGGGTGTAAATACTTTTCAGACAAATATAAATCAAAGAAATTTTCGCCAGTAGACATGCCTTGTAAGAAATATTAAATAAAGTCTTTTAGAGAGAAGGAAAATAATATAGGAAAAATCTCAGGTCTGCATAAAATAACAAAAAGCTTTAAGGAAGGAATAAATGAAAATAGAATAAAATTTTTATTTTTTGTATGTATATGACACATACATAAGCATATATAATCAAATAAAATTGTTGCTATTATTACATGCTTATCTATGCTTATATGTAAGTGAAATGAATGAAGCAATGATACAAGGATAGAAGTTGAGAATATTTTGTTATTGTAATGTAGTGATACCACCATTGAAGTGATATAATGTTATTTGAATGTGGACTTGTATTATTTGAAAATTTATATTGCAAACTCTAAGGCAGCTGCTACACAAAGTAGCATAAATAAAGTAACTAATATGTGAAAAAATGAGTGACAGTTATACAAAATGCTTACTTAAAACCTCACAAGGCAAAAAAAAGTAGAATGCAAAAATAAAAACAAAGAAGCAACAAATAGAAAATAATAATAAATATGATAGAGAGTAATACAAATATATCAATAATTGCTTTGAATGTCAATGATCTAAATGCATAAATTAAAAGACAAAAATAGAGTGGTTCAAAAAACAGTACTCAGCTATATTTTGTCTACAAGAAATCTACTTGAAATAAAAAGACACATACAGAGTAAAAGTAAATAGATGGGGGAAAATATGCCATGCTAGCACTAATTAAAAGAAAGCAGAAGTAGCTATATTAATTTCAGACAATGCAGACTTCAAAGCAATGTAAGTTATGATGAGCATTACATAATAATATATGGGTTAATTCTTTTTAAAAAAAGTAATAATTCTTAATGTGTATGTGGCTACCAACAAAGTGTTAATCCACATGAATCAAAACTGGTAGAACTGTAAAGATAAAAAAATGAATTCACTATCATAGTTCAACACTCTTCTATCAAAAATGGACAAATTCAGGAGGCAGAAAATCAGTAGGGACACAGCCAAACTCACTAACACCATAAATCAACCAGATATAATGTACATCTATATACTACTTCATCCAACAAGAGCAAAATACACATTCTCAAGCTCACTTGGAACAATTACCAAGATATACAACATACTGGGCCACAAAATACACCTCAACAAATTAAAAAATAGAAATCATAAAATATCTGTTTTTATTTATTTATTTCTATTTAAATGCCAATTAGTTAACATATAGTGTAATATTAGTTTCAGGTGTCCAATGTAGTAATTCAGCACTTCCATACAATTCCCAGTGCTCGTCACAAGTGCACTCTTTAATCCCCATCACCTATTTAACCCATCTTCCCACCACCTCCCCACTTGTCACCATCAGTTTGTTCCTTATAGTTAACAGTCTGTTTCTTGGTTTGTCTCTCTCTTCTTTTCCCCTTTGCTTTTTTTTCTTAAGTTACACATATGAGTAAAATTCACAATGGAATTAAACTAAAAATTAGTAGCAGAAACATAGTTGGAAAAACACTAAATATATGGAGATTCAACTACATATTTATAAATAACACATGGTTCAAAGAAGAAATCTTAAGAGAAATTTAAAAAATAGTTTGAATGAATTGAAAATAAAAACACAAATTACCAAAACTTGTGTGATGCAGCAAAAGGAGGGTTTAGAGGAAAACTTATGGCATTGAATGCATATATTAGAAAAGAAGAACAATCTAAAATCAATAATCTTAAATTCCCAATTTAGGAAACTAGAAAAAGAAGAATAAATTAAATCCAAAGTAAAAAGGAGAAAACAATAGTAATTAATAAGAGCAGGAATTAATGCAATTGAAAACAGCAAGTTGATAAGAAATTCAACAAAGCCAAAACCTGGTTTTTTGAAACCATCAATAAAATCGGTATGAAAAAAAGAGAGAAGACAAGAATTATTAATATAAATAAAAGAAAGGACGTCATTATACCCCAGGGACATTAAATGGATAATAAAAACATACTCTGGGGGCACCTGGGTGGCTCAGTCAGATAAGCATCAGTTATTTGTTTTGAATCTGGTCATGATATCACAGTTCATGAGTTCAAGCCCCACATCGGGCTGTGTGCAGAGACTAGTTGGGATTATTTTTCCCTCTCTCCCTATCCTCCCCTGCTTGCTCTCTCTGTCTCTCTCTCTCAAAATAATTAAACTTAAAAAAAAAAAACATATTCTGAACCACTCTCTGCCCACAAATTTAATGACCTGGATGAAATGAACCAATTCTGTTGTCATAAGGAACTAATAGATCATCTGAATAGGTCTATAGCTAAGCTATTAAAGAAATTGAAATAGTGATGAACTTCCCTAAATATAAAGTACCAGACCCAGATGGGTTCACTAGTGAGTTCTTCTAAACATTTAAGGAAGAAATGAAACCAGTTCTTTTTTACAATCTCTTTCAGGTGATAGAAGTAGAGAGAATTATTTCTTATTCTATGAGGCCAGGATTACTGCAATACCGAAACCAGATGTTACTAGAAAATAAACTGCAGACCAATTTCTTTCTTGATAATAGATGCAAAAATTCTCAATGAAGATATTAGCAAATTGATTTATATAACAAAGTTTAAAAAGAATTATATGCCATTACCAAATGTGATTTATCCCAAATATGCAAGGCCGTTTTAACATTTTTAAATTAAGTAAGTAATCCATCTTATCCAACAGATTAAAATGGAAAAATTGTATGATCACATCAGTAGTTGCATAAAGCACATTTGGCAAAATCCAACACACATTCATGACAAAAACTCTCAGTAAATTTGGAACGGGGGGACACTTTCTTTACTTGGTAGAGTATATTTATAAAAACCTATAGGTATGTTTTCTTCTCTCTGTCCCCACCCCCATATGTTCATCTGTTGTATTTCTCATATTCCACATATGAGTGAAATCATATGATATTTGTCTTTCTCCGACTGACTTAGGATAATGTGTATTATGAAGAACACTTGTTATGAACACTGGGTGTTGTATGTAAGTGATGAATCATTGAATTCTGCCCTTAAAACCAATACTGTACTGTATGTTAACTAACTAGAATTTAAATAAAAATTTGAAAAAGAAATCCCTACAGGTAACATCATACTATGAAAAGGATACTGTCATGACATGACAAGAATACCTTCTCTCACCACTCCTTTCAACATCTTTTTTTTATATTATTGAGTACATTTTTTTATTAAAATTAATAAGTTAAAATTTTTGTTAAATAATTTTGTAACAACAATATTAAGTTTCCCTTTAATAACTGAAATGTGAATATCTATACTATTAAAAAATGCTTATGTAAAACTCTAAAGACACATTTTCTTAGCATAGCTTTAGTCATCCTTTAAGCAGTCATTTGTACAGCAATTTAGGAGACCCTGGGGTCTTACTCAGCATCCCTATGACATATACACCCCTATTATGAAAAATACAGGAGGAATACAAGTAATTGTCTTCTAGTTAGTTCGGATTAGAAGAGCGAGACAATTCTGACACAAAGTTCAGTATTTCGAGGGCCTTTTCCCCATATCTTTCTTAAATACATGTCTATTTGCTTGTCCTTAATTTCTTTCAGAACCTCACTTTATACCAAGGAACTCATTTAAATCTAACATTTAAAAATGTTTATATTCGAATCTATGTTTTACTTCACTTA